CATCATTATTATTATCATCATCATTATCATCACCATCATCATCATCATCATCATCATCATCAGCAGCATCATCAGCATCATCATCATCATCATCAGCATCGTCCTCGTCCTCATCCTTATCCTCATCCTCATCCTCATCCTCATCCTCTCCTCATCCTCCTTCTCCCTTCTCCTCCTCCTCCTCCTCCTTCTCCTCCTCCTTCTCCTCCTCCTTCTCCTCCTCCTCCGCCTCCCCCTGCCGATACGCCCGAGCTCTCTTCGGTGGCCCAGGCCTTGTTGGCGCGAGAGCCGCGCGGCGAGAGTTCGGTCGGGCATGTCCCGCTACAGGTGGATGTTCGACGAAAATAGCATAGTCCAAACATATTCCAAGATGTTTTCAAAAGATGCTGAACAAATCGTCCCCAAGCTTTTTCCCCATTTCTGACTGTTCTTCCTGTAGAGGGACAGGCCCGACTTGAGGCGAGAGCCGCGCGGCCGGCCGCCCCCCTCGGCGATGGCCGCCGCGCCCACGGGCTTCGGGGGCCTCGTCTGCGAGGAGCCTCCGCCTCCTTGGGCGTGGCGAGTGGCGGTCAGAGGAGGAAGCGGTACCCATACCTCTACCCTTCCCTCGTTTCCCCCTTCCCTCTACCCTACCCTTCCCTCGTCGTTTGCCCTGCCCTACCCTTCCCTCGTCGTTTGCCCTTCCCTCGTTTCCCTCTACCCTACCCTTTCCTGATCGCCGATGCATCGCCCACGTCGACGATGCATCGCGCACGTCGGCGATGCAGCGCGATCCCCCGACCCCATTTACACCGACCCCATCTGGGAGGCCTCCAGCGTCGTTGCGTAGAAGGTCACGTTCGGGGTGGATGCGTCTATGGACAACGCGGCTGTTGCGTCCGGCGCAGTACGAGGTCGGGGACAGGGCACAGCCGTCTGCGCCACGCTCCTGCTCCAAGCTGGCCACACCTGAAACTCCAGACCGCCGCCCTCTCAGAACCTGGCGCTCCAAAGTTCCCCGAAGCCGAGCGTCTGCGCCCGGCCTCGGGCTCCAGGGCCCCCACAGATCGACCCGCCTCGGACCAAAGGCTCTGGAAAGATGGGGTCGAGGGCTCCAGCAGTGGCGTTTTTTGGCGGCGAGCCCCCAGGGGGGGCAGCGGGCAGGGGCTGGCCTCCGCAGAAGGTCCAGGAGCCCCCCCCCGGCCTCTGAGAAGTGTCCCGAGCCCTCCCCGCAGATGCGCCGACCCTTTCTCAGCCAGCGCGAGGGCGTCGGAGAAGTCCCGCCGCCTTGCGAGGAGGCCTCGTCCTTCTCGCTCCCCCCCCGCTCTCGCCGCCGATGAGATGTCTTGCCCGCGACGTCGGATCCCAGGGCCGCCTCGCCCGGAAGCGAGCGGGCTCTGCGAGGGCAGCGTCGTGCCCTGCCGTGCTCTCAACCGCCTCCGGCGCCCCGCGGCCGATCGAAGCGGCCCCCGGGAGAACTGCGGGGAGACAGCCGGGGTTCAGTCGGGCATGTCCCTGTACAGGAGCAATATTCAAGAATAGTGAAAAAATAGTCTGGGGACGACTGTTGCATCATACTTCGTACTATGTTGGACTCTTCCAAAATCGACCCATAGGAGGACTAAACTGTTTTTGAATGCTTCTGGGCTCTTCCAAAACCGACCCGTATGAGGACATGCCCGACCGAAAGTTGGGAACGAGGAGTGGCCGGGCAGGCCTCGCATCGAGAGCCGTCGCTTGGCACCCATCTCTCGGGCGCGTGCGCTTCTTTTTCCTTCTCGGCGGGGGTCGTCGATGGGCGCCCTGTGGCCCTCTCTGCGACGCTGCCCGCGCGCAGCCGAAGACAAAGCGCTCGGACAGGGGCGCCCGAGCGATGGCCAGATCGGCCCAAAGTTAAGTCGGGCCTGTCCCCCTTCAGGAGGAATATTCAGAAATAGTCAAGAAATAGTCTGGGGACGATGTTTTCACTATTTTGGAATATTTTTGGAGTATTTTGAAGTTATTTTTCGTCCGAAATCCGCCTGTGCGGGGACATGCCCGACCTAAGCCCAGAGCGTTCTGGAACGCTCTCGGAGCGTCCAGGAACGGCCGCGGCGCCCTGTGCAGCCTCCACGCCCGCCGGTTCTCGGGGACGTTTTTTCTGGTTCGCTCAGAAGGGGAAGCACACACAGACAAGACTAGTCGTCGGCTCCCAGGAAGACATGGGAGAATAAGGGAAGTGGGGGCGGAGACGAAAGCCCAGAAAATCTCGATTCTGCCTTCGTCTTAAGTTGGTCGCGTAGGAGGCTCAAGAGGCACGTGACCCTCCCACGCTGATGCTGGTCCGCGGCAGCCGCGCCCGCCGGTTGTGCTGGGCCTCGCCTCCGAGGCGCCCCCTGCCCCTCCCCCAGGCTCCGGGCGACGCAGCGGTCCTCGGTCCTGCTCGGCCACGTGTGGAGGGGGTTCGTCGGACGGGGCTATGGCACGGGGATACACTTGCCCCGGAGCGTTCTGATCGCCGGCGCGCGCCGCTGGCACGTGCGCGGGCGGGGGGACGACGCGCGCGATGCAAAGCAGCGACTCACCAAGAATAGCGCTTGTCAGGTGATCGCAAACATGGATGGATCAGGGGGGCGTGGATTAGCGACGGGTCCCGTTTTCATGGGGAATTGCGTATGGCCGCCGCCGAGCGAGGCGGCACCGGCCGCTTTTTGGGGAGGGCACCTCCCCCGATCCATGGATTTGGCGACCGCGCGCCAAATCCATGGATCGCTAATCCATGTTTGCGCGCCCCCGACAAGAACAGCGCTTGGTCTGTCCGCGTTGGACACGGCGCGAGACCAGCGCCAACGCGAGGGCCATGGTTTCCCTGGCGGGCAGTGGCGTCAGAGTTGAATTCGCAGATCGCCCAACGCAGGGCGGCACGTTTTAGTTGTGAAGTCCGGAGACGGGCTCAATGGTGTTTGTCAATCATCGGTGGATTCTCTCCTACAGGCAAGGGGGAGGCGAGAACCTTTTTGGCTTTGGGGCACATGCTGGAACGATCAGAGCGTCGAGGTGCTGAAATAAGGACCAGCTCGACTTCGGGAGGGGCTCGGGTTTTCGCGCCGTTCCTTCGATCTAGATCGTGGGACCCATTCGTGGCCGAGGTTGGCCCTTATCAGCCATTCGGGGCACCTGCAACCGATTTACAACGTAGCTTGGCCAGATCTAACCCACCCTCACCTCCACGTACAACCCCCCTTCCACTCAGCAGACCCCGCGGTCATCCCAGAAGGGGGCCACCTCCAGCTAGGGGGTCCTCGGTGCCTTCCCGAGCAGGGCATGGGGGAGGCCTCGAGCGAGATCGGGTAGATGGGGTCGGAGGATCGCGCCGCATCGCCGACGCATCGGCGATGCACCGCCGATTCATTGGCGATGCATCGGCGACGTCGGCGATGCACCAGCGACGCCAGCGTGGAGAAAGTCGGGCCTCAGATCGAGCCGCATCGCCGATGCATCGGCGATGCGGCGCGATCCTCCGACCCCATCTGCTCGGACCCTTTCTAGGATTCAGTCGGGCCTGCCCCTCTGCAGGGGGAGTATTCAAAAATAGTTATACAAAAGTACGGGGACTATTTTTTGAGTATTTTTGGGGCGAGGTGGGGGGGCGCGCACCACCAGGAGGGCCGTCCCTCCCTGGAGCCTCGCGCTTGCGGAGATCCAGAAGGGGAGAAATCACACAGACACAATTCATCGTCGATCCCGCCGAAAATATTGGAAAATATGGGAAGTGGGGGGGAAGTCGAAAACCCAGAAAATATAGGAAACTATGGGACATCCTGTAATTTGTGTATGTATTTGTGTGTCCCAGGGCCCCTTCAATCTGGTGGTGCCGCCTCTCTTTGTGTGTTTTTTGGTGGGAGGAGCAGAAGAGGGGCCATCTCCGTTCCCTTCTGGCGTTGCTCGCCCATCACGAGCTGAGCGATGCCAAAAAAAACGCTGACATGCATACAGTGGGGGCCCATGCCAAGAAACACCCTGCTCGCTTCCAGGGTGCCGAGGGTTTCTGGGGTTTCGACGGGCTTGCTTTGGAAAGCGTGACGTTCCCACACCAAAAATCAATGGACGTCCTAGGGTCTAAGGGTTGTGGAAGGTTTCTTTTGGTCGGGCCTACACTGTGTCACCCCTCATCCTTCCCTCCGTCCCACTTCATCTCATTCGTCGCCTCCTCACTCCTCCTCCCGGGTCGGTTTTTGACGCCAGATCCCGCATCAGCATCATCATTAGCATCATCAGCATCGTCGTCATCATCACCGCTCTTTGCCGTTGCCAGTTTGGTTCTGGATCTAAATCACGGTTTGTCTGTCCTGACACCGGGCGCCGTGGAAACATCACGCGTCGTCGTCCCGTCTTGGGCCCGGGGACTTCAACAGATCTTTTCGGCTCCAGAAATCTCGAACGAAGATAGGTTCGAGTGGATTGGTACAGTCAACACGGACAGTAAGCATGAGCGATTGTCTCTGGTTGCCCTTGGAGCCTTCCCTGTCGGCCCATTCTTGGCAACTTTCTCTGGCCGCGCCCCGCTCAAAAAGGATCTGCATAGCCTTTCAAGACCCTCGCACCCTCAGCGTGCATCCTCCTACGCGTTGACTGTAGTGTTGTTTCTTGACGAGACGCTGTGATGTTTGACGAGGTCCGATGCTTTGTTTGTTCTTGCGTGGAGCAGCAGGGCGGAACGCTTGCCAGCGTTGACCGTCTTGAGCCTTTGCGGTCGTGGGTCTGACCGATGGGCTCGCAGCTGGCACGCTGCGCTGGCAGACGGGGCGAGGGGACGCTGGATGAGACAGCTGGTGCTTTGACCTGTCTGACCTGGAACGTTGCAGCCGTCAACAACAATCCCTTCGAGTATTGGGTCTCGCACGACGACCCAGCCTACCTGAGGTTGATGAACGACGTGCAGGAGTTCATCGATAGTCCCTCTAACGACCAGGACGTTGAGGTCAGATCAGTGTTTCCAGACGCGTTGTTTGAAGAGCTTGCCAGCATGATGAGCGCCGAAG